CTTCATTACTTAGATATTTCTTAGATCATGTTTGAGGTCATATCACAAGCCACAAGCGCTAATTCATGTATTGCAACTTTATAAAGTCCAACTAGAGAATTACAATATCAGGCGGTCTATCGCGTGAATGAGAAGAATTACCTGAAGGGATCTCAAGTGCTCCGAATTATCCTTGGAGGTAAATGAAAAATTAAACATCTCTTAAGCGCTGGATCACAACTAGGGAGACTCGCTTTGATGCATGGGAAGAAAAAACTACATGATTATAACCTCACTTTGGAATTCTATGATTCTACAGATTAGTGACACCTGTATGTTCCTACCCAATACCAGAGAAATTTGGGAGGCGGTGAAAGAAACATATTCTAAGGTCCACGGTGCAGCCCATCATATGATTTAAAAATCAAAGTTTGATAATTACAGAATATGCCAACCTTTTGAGACTTGGCAGCAAGAGATAGCCCATCGACGTTGCCTCAACATGTAATATAGTGTAGGTGCTATAGCATTGAATGCCTTTATTGAGAAAAACATGGTCCTTGAGTTCTTAGCAGGTCTTAATGGTGGGAGTTTGACTCTGTAAGGGTTGAATTATTGAATAAAGATGTAACATCGCCACTGAAGGAGGTTACTTCACTCATTGTGGCAGAGAAAGAAAAGAGAGAGGTAATATACAAGATGTTACCCATCTGGAAGGAGCAGAGTCAAAGTTCCCCCACCAAAATATGAGTCGAGATCTAAATAATCTATGGTATACCTTTTGTAAGAAACTCAAGCATACTCAAGATGAAATGTTGGAAACCCCACAGTAAATCAAGTACCTCTAGCCAAAATTGAAGATACAAAAATACAACCCAGAAGCATCAAGGACAAGAAAATATGGTCAGTTAATAAGGAGAGAAGACATTTGATCTCAGCAAATTCAAAGTAGAGATCGAATGACTAAAAACTCGACTTGAGTCCTAAAAAAAACCTAGAGGTATAACTTTATTGAGACATTTAGGTACGTCTTTTATCTCACATAGAGTAAATGTCTTGAATAAATCATTTGCATTATCCTAAATTATAGACTCAGGAGGTACAGATCACATGATCAATTCATCCAAATATATTAGTACTTGTGCCTCGTGTCCTAGTAGTAAGAAAATAGTCACTGTAAATGGTTATTAACCACTATAGTGGGGGTCGGCAAAATAAAGATTAGTCTTCACTTTACGCGTACGAATATGCTTCATGTTCCAAAATTGTGCACAAATTTTACTTCATTGACCAAATTATCTCATGATGTAAATTGTAAAGTGATATATATATTTTTTTCTCATTGTGAATTTCATGATCAGACATTAGGGAGGATGATTGAATATGTTGAGGTATGGAACAAGTTGTACTTCTTGGATACGCTTGAAATGCCACACTCTACTTTTTTTTACTAGAAC